GANGGGGGGGGGCCTTAGCTTCTTTCTGCCTGCTCAATTTTGACGTCATTTGTCAGCAAATGTTCTCCATGCCACTTTTTCATGTGTTTCTCCAGGGTGCTGTAAACACTGAAGGGCATCTGGCAAATGTCGCAGCGGTAGACCTCCTTCCCTATCTGGCCATGCGTTTTCATATGGCGCGTCAGCTTACTGCTCTGGGCACATGCATAGTTGCAGAGCTCGCATTTGTAAGGCCGCTCTCCAGTGTGGCTCCGACGGTGTACCGTCAAATTGCTGCAGTTCTTAAAGACCTTGCCACAGTACTCACATGTATCGCTCCTGCGTCCTTCCTTCGAGCTGGGTCGCCCGGGGCCGGGTCCGCTGATGTGGGGGGTGCTGCCTCCGCTGGCCGTGCCGCTGCGCCCTGAGAGCCCCCCGTCCAGCATGTCCCCCGGCGGAGTGGAGAAACGCAGGCTCCCGTTCTCCGACGAGTGCTCGGAAGAGGTCGCGAAGGGGGATTGTCGGGAGTCTGTGAATCCGAGGAACGGATCCTTCATGAAGTGCCGCGATGCTGCGTACCCTACCAGCCACTGGGAGTAAACGTTTTCAGAAGGTATTATCGTTGCTGGTGGCAAGTCCAAATCTTTCTCTACCTTTATTCTTTTAGAGGAATTGTTTAAACTGGGGCTCGTGATAGGTGTTGGCTTGCGGGGGAACAAGTTTGGGAAGGGTTCACCCGGGCCAAAGTTTCTTCCATTGACCGTACCTTCCTCAGTGCGGTCCAGCTCTCCTACCACTGAGTCTTCGTCACCCGGATCTCTCTGACAGAGGTCTCGAGGACACAAGTCTCGCTGGTCAGAGGACCTTTTCATGAAGCTACTCCTCTTCTGTTTCTCAGCTAACATGTCGTTATATTGCTGAATGGCACCTAGACTTACATTCTCGATGACTTTTCCCAGGACAAGGGATTTCTCGTCCGGCAGCGACTTGGAGCCATTTTCTCGGTTACGACTCAGCTCTGAGTCCATACTGAAGCTCGACTCTGGCCGGCTCTCATTTTCAAGCTCCTCTTCCTCCTCCTCCTCCTCTTCCTCTTCTTCATTGTCATGGCCCAGGGAAGGATCGCTCTCGTTCCTGAAATCTGCCTCACTGGATTTCAGTCCCTCTCCAGTGAGCTCGCTTGTGCCTGGCTCGGGGGAACTAGTGGTGGACAGTCCATCGTCTGACCTGCCCGTCATGGAGCCAGCTTTATGCATATGCGTTTTCATGTGGCGTTTTAGCTTGCTGGCCTGGGAGCAAGCATGGTCACAGAGCTGACACTTGTAGGGCTTTTCTCCTGTGTGACTGCGCCGGTGCACGATAAGGTTACTCTGGAACTTGAATGTTTTCCCACAAAATTCACAGGACTTGCTCTTGGCCTGAGGCTGGGGAGGCGTAGTGCTGCTGGGGGGCATGGGGGGCAGTGGCGGGGTGCTCAAAAAAGGTGATTTAGGACTCGGCTGGAAAGGATTCAACAGACGATGCATAGGGTTGGTGCGACTGGGTGAGACTGGCGGAGGGGTGGAACTGTTTCCAGCCAGCTCTCGAAGCCTCCTGGAGAAATCCATCGCTGGGGACTCAATTGCCATGGGGTTTAAACGCATAACTCTGTCAAAGGCACTGGGATGCTGGGCAACTAACCCCATTTCTTCGGCACTAAGGCGATGTGGATCCAGATGATGACGAGGCGGTGGGCTGAACAGCGGAGGCGTGTTTGGGAGCCGACCCTCACCAAAGCCAGGGTGTTCACGCAGGATGGGTCCTGTCATGCGCAAAAGGTTGAAAGGGTTGTTGTCTCCAAGAAAATTCATCAGYGGGGACTGTGCAACAGTCTCCGGTCCCAGAGGAGGAGGGATGGTGATGCGTGGAGTAAGGGAACTGTTTGAAGGGCTTGTTTCCAGGTAGATGCGGAATCCATGTGTGTTCTGGGCATGCTGAAGCAAGAACCAAGCGCTATTAAAAGGCTGCTTGCATGTTGTGCAAATATAGCTTGAAGGCTCATCTTTACCTATAAAAGAGAAAATAGAAAGAACACTTAAAAAATAATACAGCGGAGAACATTTAAATACAGTTGGCATTCACTTTATTTTGCTAACACATTTCCTCCTTGGCATTTCTGAAAGARGGATTTAATTGCAACGTATTGACTGATATAAATTGTTGAACAGCACATTTACTCATCACACTTATTCACTTAACATGTATGACAAATATCACACATACGCATTCGTGCTATATACGTTTACATCCTCTAATTTGCAAATAAAACCTTCCTTTATGACGTGTAAGGATCCAAATCCTTTCATGTGTTTATTCCACAAAAAGTAATTTGTTTCAAGGGATTTATGACAATGAACAAAAACCAAGAAAAATGCAGTGTGGTAGGCTTTACAAGGCACCTGCAAGGACCTTCAGTGTCATTTTCACTCTTTCATTTTATATACTTCGTGCAGCAGTCCCCTGAGATCYTTCTGAATTTAATTTATACGTGCTTAAGTCATGCCAGCACTTCCATTTTTAAAATACCATGTAGGTATTTAGCCACAAAAGTCCTATTCAAATCAACAGGAGCTTGGAAAACATACCCTTGCATAAACCACTTTGACGTTCCTTTTGCCAAAACACCAAGAAGCCACTCAAATGAAACATCCGGTAATCAAAGCCGACAGCACAGTTGCAATTAACAGTAACAAATGTCGGGCCGTGCTTGAACTGGGTCCCAAGAATTTCTGAGCCTGAGCCTGCCCTCCAATGCAGAAATGCTCACCAGAGCCAAAAACATTGTTCTGTTTGCTTTTCTAGCCTCTTTGAACGACTGCATAAAGGTGGAAAGCATTCCTTTAACCTTGATTCAGCTTTACATAAAGGACAGGTGTGGACAAGTCTGCATCACAGTCATAATTTTGCTAGCTAGAAAATTCCAGTCCTGGAAACAATATAAACTATGTGCTATCTGCAAAAAGCACTTCCCTCCTTGGCCCCCCTCCTTGTTCAATGCCTCTGCAAGACTCTGATAAATTCATAAATATGTGTCAACTTGAAAATCATGATCCAGGATTTGTTTTGTTGTTTGTTTTTAAATGAGGGGGAGGTTTCCTGAAAAAAAAAAAAAACCTCCCCTTTTTTGAAAATCTAAAATTAATTTCTTGCTTCCTTGTTTGTTTATGATACCACACGCTTGGTTTAGCGATGGCTCCATTGAACCCAAGGGCAGTAAACTTCCTGAAAGTTTAACACCTGAACCAAGCTGCCTGACCCGTGAGGGAACAAGGATCCAATGCCTGTTTCAGCCCCACTGCAGGAGCTCAGATTCAAAGCTGAACTAAGAGACCCTTTGTAGATGGGGAGGGGTGCAATTCCTAAAATCCTGTTGCATGATCTTGGAAATGAAAGAGTTTATAGGGTGAACTAGACCGTATTATCGAAACTACCTTGTAAAGAGGAATGACTAATAGCAGACAAAAAAAAATATTTAAACTCAGGCACATCAGGAGAAGCTGACTGAATTCCCCTCTTCTGGCTGTTGCAGGAATGACTGCTGCTAACAAAACCTACAAAACCTTAGACAAGGAGGCTAGAAGATTATCTGCCTACCTATCATCCTGTCAGTTTTATCTAATCTTATCACCCAATATACATCCATAACTGCATAAAGGAGAAAGCATGTATCAGATTGAGACTTATTTACAAAGGTAGGTGATAAATGTGCTGCAACTCCTCACACACCTATTGATTTAGTAGGGCCATTGCTGTGGATAGCAGCCTCGAACCCCAGTTTCAGAGTAGCAATTTCTTCACAGCCAATAAAAAATGTACACAACAMAGGGGGCATTTCTGCCTGACTGATGTGGCCCCCATGCCCTGGTTCTGCATTCTATGTCCGTATGGGACAGACACAGTTGCTTTGATTAATCTCTAACAATCTGTATTCAAAAAAAAAAAAAAAAATCAAACAAATTTCAGAACTGCACTTGGCTTGGAAAAAAGTGCCTGTAACTTCTATTGACATTAATGAAAGCCACGCACAAACATGGAAAGGAGCTGATACATTATCCCTTAAAAATCTACTCAGCACTGAGGCAGTTAGGAAGTTTTATGTCAGCTTTGCAGCCAAAGAAACAGTAAATGCTCCCATTATTACTTCAAATATTTAAATTTCTGTTTCTTGCAGAAATATGATGAAAATGTCTAGACCTTTAACTTTTCTTGCACAGCAACATGTGTAGCATAAAAAGTGACAGAAATCACTGAAGCAGACTAAAGTATATAACATACTCTGTCAAAAGCTTTTTTAAACAATATGTTTTACCTCAGCTCACCCTAGAATAGATTTTAATAAAGCCCCTTACAAAGTGTGATATAATAGCAAATGAAGTGCAGCATCTTACAAGGTCATATATCTTCAAATTAAAGAGTGCTCTGCACCCTTCACCTTCACTTTATCCACTCTAATTAATCGATTTATTACCCACAGCTGTTTGATTCTTTCATTTTTAAAGTCACAGCATGTACTCTTTTTTGTTGTGACTTTTTTTCTTTAAAAAAATTAAGTGTGTGAGTGTCTGTGTGTGTACATGCATTCTCTTTGCTTAGCTCAAGAACAGAMAGGAGGAAGAAAGCAGCTGTGTAGTAGACGACAACAACAGCAATATGTTTACTTCAGAAAAAGCACATACGTAATAAGAAAAATTCCTGAGCAGGCTGAGGATCAAGGCCAACCTAAAGCTGAAATGGCTGATTAAAAAAATTACCCTCAAAATGGCAGCTGGCTGGATGCTTGCTACTACATGTTACATGGAACTAAGATGTTTTGGTTTGTTTTGTTTTCCAAAACTTCACGTCCATGAAATTCAAGAGAGGAAAGTAAGACCCCCTCCTTTTTAGTTTTCTTTCAAAATGACCAARTTAGGGCTATTAGTGATCTAAGATTTATAAGCTAGCAGTCATAAGTCTTCTCTCCCTTTCTTGTTTTGTTTAGCTTTTATGCTCCTTAACACTCCTCTTCAGGAGACTTCAACACAACWGCAAAATTGACTGCAGGCTACCTGGCTACCAATCTCTGACTGATTCATGAATGTTCATATGTGCATGCCTACATATTTATTTATTTATTTATTTTCACAACCCTTAAATCAAATCCCCAGACTCCCTGTTAAAAAAAAAAATAGAAAATAATAAAAAAAAAGTTAATTACCATATTATCACTCATGGTTATCTTGCCTAAAAGTTGCCCTGAGCAGTGTAGATGCACACTTTTAAGAACAGAACAATGTCAAAAAGTCTTTGAAAATCCACTCTGAACATTTTTATATTCAAAAACTTGCTAARTATTTTAAACATGCCCAGAAACAGCCACGTATTGCTCAAGAGTGATCCTTATATTTAATAATGCACCTACACTATAAAAATCTTTGTTATAAGGCTACTTTTGATATATGGCTATCTTAATCCCTTGCCACCTGCACTGAAGTCTGCCTAAATGCCCACTTTATGACAACTAGCTATATCATCTTTGCCATATGCAGTCTTTATCACTTTAGCATGTGCTTGACTTTGAGCATGTGAGTAATCAACATCAGTGAAACTTAAGCATAGGCTGAAGTGCTCTGTTAGGTAGTGATGAAATTATTCATGTGCTTAGAGTCAAACACAAGCCAAGTCATCATTAATACTGTTCAACAAATTGCACATGGTTTCAATCCCACAGTCTGCAACAAATCATGAATTTTGGGGCCGAAAGCTAAAGTATAATTCTTTTTTTTACAGTAGTCGGTAGATATGGTATATGTACAGAGATGAGACATCCAGGTCACAACTCCTGAGTGATTAATTGTAGCTTCAAGGTTGCAGAAAAGCCAGAAAAATATTGCTATGTTCAGATATCAGAGGCTTGCARGGCTGAATCTTTCTAAGACACCGGTGTGTAGGTTCAGAAATACTATTTGACGGCTAGGAGGGATTGTGAAATTAAAGTATGAGAGGACTGGAATAAACCTTAAGGTTTGCYCTCATTCAATTCCTGATCCAAAGGACTGTAGAATCATAGAATGATTTAGGTTGGAAGGGACCTTAAAGTTCATCCAGTTCCAGCCCTCCTGTCATGGGCAGGGACACCTTGCACTAGACCAGGTTGCTCAGGGCTCCATCCAGCCTGGCCTTGAACACTTCCAGAGATGGGACATCTGGAACTTCTCTGGGTAACCAGTTCCAGTGCCTCACCTACCTCACAGTAAAGAATTTTTTCCTAATATCTGATCTAAACGTACTCTCTTTTCATTTGAACCCATTCCCCCTTTGTCTTGTCACTACATGTCTGTATCTATGAATCTATTCATATCTATGCCAGCTGCTCCAATATCCTGCTTCAAAGGCCACCAAATGGAGAGTCTACAACCTTTTCAAAGTCTACCTCACTCCTTCTCTACCATCATGAATATTCCCCAAGTGTCTAATCTAAATCTTTCCTCCTGCAATTTAAGATCTTAATATATTGTCCTATCCAGATGTACATGCAAAACACAGGAAACAAGTTAGTCTGCACCTCACAGTTATCATCCAGCCCAGGGATTTGCAGCTGAACCACTTCATGCATTTTAGCACCCCCTTCACACAGTTTGATTTGGAAATGTTGAGGGAGAACTCACTTTGTATTGGAGTAGTCTGTGGCCATGGTTGACTATTTTCACTATGAAAAAAGCTGTCTTCTTTCTAATTCGAATTGCTGAGTTCAACTCTCAACCATTAGATATTGCTATATTTTTATCTGGGAGATTAAAAATCTCTCTAGTACCCTCTCCTAAAGCAGGTAATTATAAACTATGAACTTATTGAACACTCTTGCCTTTCCTGCCTATTATGACAAAAGATGGTCCTTTCCAGAAATATTAAAATGTGTTCCCTCCATTAGTGCATGACAGCTTATGTTCCATTCAAAATGTCAAAGCAATAATGAGCATTTTTCTCTTTCACGAACAGCACTAAACAAAGCTGAATTTAGATCCTGCCTCC